GCGACGGCGGGGCGGGGCTGGAGGGGGTTCCGGAGTGGAGGCCGCCGCTGGGGAAAGAGGGCCGGAGGAGGCCGCGGGGGAGGTGCCTATGGAGTGGGGGTGGGGCGACACGGCGGTCCGGTGGGGGCAAGGAGAGAAGCCTCGGACCTGTTCTGAAATAGTCGAGGTATTTCAAATTGTTTGTTGACACGGACAAAGTAAGGGAAAACCTCTGAAAGAATTTTCATATTGACCTTGGACATATAAGAGTTTCGAATCGAATCTTTTTAGAAAAAATATCTTTTGTCTCAACCAGGAGTACGCAAGAAAGGCAAAAGCACTATGAATTATTGATTTAGGAATGGGAATAGGCTAGAACCCTGGGTTCTTCCTTATATAATTAATGGTCTTTTCATTCTAATACTCTATCCGAGAGTTCTCAGTATTTAGCAAAGTTGTTCCTATCTAACGGATAAAAACTGGATCAAGTTATGCCGCATGGGATTGGATCCATTTTTTTGCCTAGGGTGTGTCCGTGTGTGCTCTTTCATCAGTGTTCCACTTGGAACGTGTAAATTCCATTATAAACCGATATTTTTTGCAACAAACATTGACAAATATTTTTGATTGCTTACAAATTTTTATGATGGAATACCATTTGGAAGACGTGGCAAAAAAACAAAAACGATGTTTTAAAAATGTTATTCGATTTTTTTGCCACGAATAACATTCCATGATGAAATTTTGCAGGCAAGCAAAACATTTGTAATGTTTACTAAAGAAAAATTCCGATTTCATTTTCAAATTTTCAGATTTTACTGTTCATCCAAGCTCACATGAGCTTGAGCTCAGATTAACCGCTTCCATTCTCATATAACTTTGCATGCTAAGATTTGTATTGCATGAATATGGTAAAGACAATCTTCTATAAACACATTACTTACTTCTAGAACAGTTCAACTTTCATCTTTATTGTACTCGTAGATTTATCTATTCCCAAGCATAATATTGAAGCCTTTCATTTTTCATGTTTAGACAGTTTAGTTGCTGCAAAATAGCACCTCATCTAGAATCCAAGCAATGAGAATCAAGAAGAATCACGATCAACAACAGATGTGCACTTAAAAAATGTGGCCAAGACCATAATATCGTGTGTTACTATGCCGGGCTATTTCCAAATGGATTGAGGCTGGTCATAGTGGGAAGTAAATTAGACTAGTACCACGCATATGTTATATTAATGCGCTTGACTATTTCCAAATGAAACGAGGCTAGTCATAGTGGGAAGTAACTTAGACTAGTAACATACATATGTTATTGTTCTATGCTACTATCTTCATAATGGGTACTAACATATGTGTGATATCATGCAAGGCTTCATTTATTTAGATGTATGCTCATTTTGCCTTGGTGTGTGTTATGTTACGGTAGCATATCATATTACCACAAACACTTCTCTCCCTTTTAACTACTTGCCACATAATAAAACTTACCATGGGATGCATTATGTTACTAGCTAAATTACTCCAACTATGGCCAGCCTGATAGATTTTTTTTGTAATTACGTTAAGCCATAAAAATAAAGTTAAACTTGAAAAGACTAACCCATATATTGGATCTAAAAGATTTGTTCATTGATATATAACATATAACGTAGACGCATATGTTTTCTTGCTCATTCATATTATGAACTTTAAGATATATGGGAGTAAAATACAGTGGAAATGAAATAAAAATAAAAAATATATAGAAATATCTTGAAATCATAGATTAGAAAGTGTTTTATGAAAGTTCAACACAAATCACCATCTGAAAAGCATTCATACCACATCATAAATTTTTGGAATGACGCAGTGTACCAATGTGTGACGGCAAATATAGGATTTATAGAAAACCGGAGCCATATACATAGTTGTACACATGGTAATTATTGACATTGACAGAGGAAAATCATAAGTGTCTCAATACATGGTTACACATGGTAATTATTGACATTGACATGTACGATCTATACCGACTCGTCTTCTTCCGCTGCTACTCTGAAATCGGTAACGATCGTTTATCCAAACCCTATACACATCTTCATATTATTCCTGGGTGCTCGTAGGGTGAATTTTTGTTTGTTTTTTTACTACGTTTCCCAACACTTTTAGCACATTATCACGGAATTCTATACTTTGAAATTGGCTTCTGTTCTACAGGATCAACCGTGCACGTTGGGGAAACCAGCCGACGCGCACCGGGAATGTATC